TCAGGATGAATCAGCTCGTTCAAGTTGTTTTTACCTATGATCACTTTCTACACAAATATTATAAATGTTAAACGTCAACAAATCGACTGTGAATTGGCAACCTGTACTATCTCAATTTTGACTTTACAGGATGAAGAAAAAAATCATTTATATAGCATCTGGTTTATTAAATAAAAATATGTAGTGTACATAGATACATGTGTAATAAAAATATTTAAAAACTACGTATTTTTATTTAATAAACCAGATGCTATGTAAATGACACAAAAAAATATTTTCTTCATCCTGTTAAGTTGTCAAAATTTAGATAGTACCGATTGCCAGTTCACAGTCGAAATGTCTTTTTCGTATATAATATCAAGTGACGGGACGAAGTTCTCAAGTTAACAACAAGTCGTGCGCCTGGTGTTAACCAACACGCCTGTCTGTAACAGTTGCAGTGCCACTTGAGCTTTAAATCGTAAAAGTCTGAGGGGCACTGCCACTGTGCCCGTCACCCTGAGATATCAGTTGACAAGTCTCATGTGCCTGTAATTTCACCAGCACTTACTCTTCGAAACCGAAACGCAGTAATGTTCACATTACTGCTTGTCGGCAGAAGTGGGTCAGGTGGCAATACTTTACTTACTCTTTCACAAGGAGCTCTACTGCTACTAAAAATATCTAGTTACAAGGAGCAAATACCTCTAGAGTATCCTATTCATTTTTCTCAGAGGAATCCGCCTTACTTAAGAATGAGTAGTAGCGTTAGAATAGAAGAATAGAATAGAATCATTTATTTCATATTATCAATTTCATAAAATTACAATTCGAAATAATGTCAAGGGATAACATGATCGTCACTAATGTAAACAACAATTTTATTCTGAAGATAAAATAAAATAATACAAAGAAAAATAAATAAAAATGCGAACTACGAAAGTACAAATAAAAATTAAATATTTTCAAACGTCCAAAATTAAAATATAATTACAATTTCTTTAAAAGAAATTCCTCTACACTGTAGAATTCATTATCCAATAAAAGGTCTTTCAGTAGGGAACAAAACACTTCGTCCTTTGTAACACTTTTTAGACTTGTGGACTTTTTAGATTCGTAAAATCGGGGCCTAATTACTCGCGGATTTCTCGTTGCGTGTTTGGTTCCGTGAGCAACGGTTTTCAGTGTTCCTATGTTACGTAATAGTCGGCCTTCGCCTGTGCGTCGCTCGTAAATATGTATGTTTTTACGCACAAGAGAATGTACTGTGAATACGCCGTCATCACGTGGTGCTTTCGAAAAAGGCTTCTACAGGACTGATTACCTTTTATGCCTACTATGGTTCGTAGTGCGCGTTTCTTGAGAACGAACACCCTTTTGGACTCAGTTGAATTTTTCCTTTTATGCCTACTATGATTTGTAGTGCGCGTTTCTTGAGAACGAATACCCTTTTGGACTCAGTTGAATTTTACCTTTTATGCCTACTATGATTCGTATTGCGCGTTTCATAAGAACGAATACCCTTTTAGACTCAGTTGAATTACCTTACATTGTAATACCATAGGACATTTAATCAATATGACGATTTCAATGTAAAAATGGAAGTAAATTACTTTGTTACTCCGCGAAATCAGTTATGGGTAAATCGTGCAGAATAGTTGCACTCACAGAACAATCAATACAGTAGAAGGGTTAGTTAACGTAGCACGCGTGCCAACAGTAGGCCTAGTTGGGCCTACTTAAACCCAGTCAGCCGTTTTCGCTTTGTACGGTATGGGTATCTCCTATATCTATCCATGCTGCACTTGCGTTGAATATTTTTTCATACATTAATTTTCTCTATGAATCATAGTTGTACTAATTTATTGAAGCAGAAGCCTAAACGGCGGAAGTAAGCTGGTAGTACATAATATCAATAGATATGAGCTTTCGCCTGACAGTTACCCAGTGGCTTAATAACAAAAGTATTGAAGTTCAAATAGTTTTTTCAAAAAGTATATCGGAATTTTGTAAATAAAATTATATTCTTAGACTTAGAAGCAGGAATACTTTGACTAACGTAAACAAACTCAATTACATTCATTTTTAATCCGAGTAATAGAAGCACAGCAGGCCTCAATCGATTTGCATAAAAATTGAAAATACCATAAAAATACAATTGAAAAGATATCTTTGGAAAATATACTGTTCGATCGGGAGTCGATATTTTGGCTTGTTTTAATTAAAAAATTCAAATCATCTTTATTTCATAGGTAACCAAATTACAATTCAATCAGTCAAAATCAAAATTATTTTAGTTTTTTTTCACCTTAACAATACATTTCACAAGGTAATTAAACTAAAGAACATGGTACAGTTAAATTGCGAGGTGGTATACTGGTGCCTAAACTAGGTTGGACCTGTACTATGGGTCACCAGGTATACACGACCGGATCTCAATGATACAATATTATGATGTTATTGTAAATACTAAAACGTTAAGGGTACATTAGCGTGATGATGTAGAAAATACGCTATTTATTTATTGTTTTGAAAAAAGGTAGTATGAGAAATTAGAAAAGTTAGTAAGTGTGATAGGAAAGTGATTAGATTATATTACTTGAAATTGTCATATTAATTAAACTCTGCTGCTCATTCGTAAGGCAGAGTCCCCTGAAGAATGAGCAAGAAAAAAAAAATACCCTAGGAGTCCCTCGTGTATAAATATACATTTGAATACATTTAACATTTACAACATTTATTTCAAACATCTTAGATTGAAACATCGAGTATATGACCAGAAATAGAGACGAAATGTCATTTAATTTGTTTGAAAACTATTCTGCCATATGATTACTGCGACAACTGCGCTCCGATTGGCCAGCCCGAATTCGGAACAATTGACGGGTGTCGTCAATGGGTGTCGTCAATTGTTTCAATTCAAATCGACAAGTTAATGTGAGCTTGGCTATAATGGACGAAAATTGCAAAATTACATATTTAAAATTTAATTACCGATGAAATTTGATTCCGTTTGTTTTGTAATTAAATGTTTTGCTGTTTTTCCCCACACCACCGAATGGAACAGCATGCCATTGTTAGAGATATTATCTTTATTACAATAAATACAGAATATTTTTGGAACATGCGGAGGCGCTGTACTATTTCAGCTTTCTAATACGAAATTTCAGTACAAACGAGAGTTTATTTATAAGTGATGTATCACTGATGAGTTACAGGAATGGTATGGCCCTTATTTCGTCTCTATTTCCGGTTATATACTCGATGGTTTGAGACTGCCTGGAAGAGCTAAACGGGTCACCAATCAAAAGTGAAATAAAATAAGTAAATGTGTTACATGTTTTTTGCCGTAGTTTCTATTGAGAAATTTTCAGCATCTAACTTATAAACCAGAAATGTCCAATATCTTAATACGTACAGTCTGGAGTACATCTATTATACATTTAAATATTTTCTGTCAAATTACACATGTACTTCACATAGCTATAGCTACAGCGAACAAATTTAAAACGCCAATGATTTGTCTTCCAGCTCCTGTCAGACTTCCTCTACCGAGCCCCAACTGACAAAATGGTAAAACTACTGCTGGAACAAAATGTGCCTGTGTACATGTACGTCATGAACACGACTGTGGAAGCGTTCCAGTGGCCCGAATGGCGTCAGTACGCTCACGACGTTGAACATTACTTCCTGACCGGCGCGCCTTTCATGGACCAAGAGTTCTTCCCTGTGAAACAACGCATTGACAGACAACAGTGGACCGGGAACGATCGGAATATGAGTCATTTCTTTATGAAGGCTTATAGCGATTTCGCTAGATATGGGTAAGTTTATTTGTTTTTGTTCAATATTCACTCTGGTAATGAAACTGTTTATATATCACACTTGCTCGTAAACAGTGTCATACATGCAGGCATAGACCGTAATGTCCTAAATTATGCTATCGGAGTTTTTCGTTATTATCGACCTATGGATTTTTTTATGTCAAGATAGAAAAAGGCAAGAGAAAAAGTTTTTGTTCTCGAAGAAACTGAACGTATATTTAGCATAAATTTGGAGTATAAAAAACTAATCATTTGCATTATAACTATTATATTATTTTATTGTACAATAATTAGTCCCGCAGACTTCATTTTTCACCTAGGCTAGGGTTGGCTGGAAGAGATCTCTCTAGAGATAAGCTCACCTTTGTATATGTCCTTTATAACTTGTGTTTCATGTATCTTTTCTTTGTGCAATAAAGAGTTATTATATTTTACAATTTTTTTTTGTGAATTCAAATTATGCAGTATTTTTAGAATTTGGAAATTATTTATTTTATATCTAAAACATTGTGACTGCATCCGTCTGTGCTTGTTTATAACGTTTTAGTTCGAGTTATATTTATCTATGGAAGAGTAGCTGGCAAACTGTTTTTTTTTTTAAATACCTGCCAGCTGCAAAATCGGTAAATCTTTTGTTGTGAAGCGATATTTGTTCATTCAAGAAATAAATTATCGTTGTATCTATTTCCTCGCAAATGTGGTGAACAACATTGTATGTAGCACGGGCGCTAAAAATTACAAACCTCTCTTTACCGCCCTTAATACACAATGTCTATGGCGGTTCTGCTATTGTCATTTATACTTTATTATTTATAACTTATTTTCAGGAACCCAACACGTTCTCAGATCCTAGGTGTTCACTTCGAAGTTGCAGAAGCAGGTCAACTGAGGTATCTGAATCTCAACACGACCTACAACTCAACCATACAGCTCAATTACCGGCAGACGGAACTTGCTTTCTGGACTGTATATCTGCCTACTGTCATTGGCCGCTTCGTACCTACGTATCCGCCTATTACCGAGGTACGTAAAAATGTTTAGAGGGAGAACTCTGGTGAATTTACGCTATGCTAGCTATTAAGCTCGTTCTTGGCAAATGCACCACTTTCTGATCTGGTAGCGTACGGACCTCCGTACCCACCTGGGCACCCTCAGGCCTGCTATTGAAATTGTTACACGGATTAAGTGCCTTCATCTCGCCCTTTTTTCCGGTAGCGGAGCCAAGGCTATCTGCGTTCGAATTTTATTAATTCATCAAATTTTGTTTCTCTCTCTCTTATTATCGACGATTTTATGTTCTCAACCGTGTTACGATGTACGGTTTCTTATTTTAGGGACGAAGTGCATTTGAAAAGATTACTTATACAAACTGTAACAAAGATTTGGGAGCACATTCCATACGTGGTATATATGATAACATATAATTATAAGGAAAAAATACACAGATTAGCTCGAATATCAGCTCTTATTTGGCCATCCAGTGTGTGTGATTACTTCCTGATGTGTGTAGTACTGGTGGGAGCCAACGCAGCCCCTGCAGATCGCGTTCTGGTCGGTGTCAAGCGCATGTCTCGTGCTAATTGTGTTGCTAGTCGTATGCTGCATGCTCTGGCGGAACGCTAAGCGGTAAGTATTTTTAAGATAAATTTTAAAATTGTGACACTGTACGCAAAAACCAACCGGTTAAGTGGGTGAAATTTGCCATCATTTTATGATAATCGCTAACACATTACTAACATATGACGACAATTCTACGGCCGTTCGTTGGAAGGGCGTTTGTCACAAAAACTCAAAACCCAGAACATAATGTTTAAAGAAATGAAATTAAAAAAATAATCTGTTTTACTCTTGCGGTAACGTCATACCTTATCCACCTAGGAAAAGATAAAAAGTGACAGACGACCTTTTTTTTTTACTAACGGCGCGGCGGCAGAGTGGTACACTAGCGGTTAACATTATTAGTGCTTAATGGCAAGTTCCCGGGTACGATGCCCTGAATGTTCTGGGCAGTGCCCTCGGTGTTTCTTTACTCTGACACTCTCACTACATGGAATTTCATCGTCTTTATGGATACCTCATCGTCATAGTGATCATGATCACCGTGAACTCATTATACGTATTTGGGCCATATTCAGCCATGCTGACCCAATGCGGGTTGGGAACTTCACACTTTATCCGAGGATCGTGAACTTTCTTCTGCTGGTTTCAACACAATGTTTTCTTTCACCGTTAGCGAGAGGTATTAACTACTAAATATTTACAAATGTACTGTTAACGTTCAGGTTCGGTGGACTGTATGGGATCGGAAATGAGACACTTGTTCAAAGCTTAACTAAAACTGAACTGCGTTTACTGCTGAAACCGATCCTATTTATATTCCGTCAATCTCCCGACTAGTAAGGGTATTAACGAGTAGGTAGGTCGGCGCGGTGTGCTGGGTGCGGGAGGCGGTGACTCAATACGATGCGGTGTGCGGAGTGCTGGGGTTCGGTACGGTGGAGCGCCCTTATTTTTTTTTAGCCATTGCTCGGTGTCCGTAACATGTACGTAACTTAGGTACATGCCGCCATAAGGATTGGAAATGTTGGCCTCTGAAATGAAAAGCTACCGTTTTTACTCTATCATATGAATCATAATTAGACGTCCAAAATGTAAACAAGGAAATGTCTTAGTCAAGTATGAATGCAGGTGTGATAAACCTTCTCTTAATTAAATTTTTATTGAATTGATATTCAATTATTTTTTGTGAAATTACTCCACTAGTTTGTTATAATTATTAATACAAAGATCGAACACTCAGAAAAAATTCCTTCGATCCGGTCGGATTCGAACCGACGTCTTCTTGCATACCGTGCCAGACACTATACCAACTAAGCCACGGACCGAACCAACGGACTTCACGAATTTTTCTATGCGCTTGCGTCTGTCTTTGTATTTGGTTTTTCAAAGACTTTTTAGTTGTAGCGCCATCTATGAGAAATCTATGACAGATTTACCACCCAGTTAGTACCTTTACAGCTACCAGTCCTGGCGAGAGATGTCGCTATTCACTGTATTAATTAAATTTTTATTGAATTGATACTCAATTATTTTTTGTGAAATTACTCCACTAGTTTGTTATAATTATTAATACAAAGATCGAACACTCAGAAAAAATTCCTTCGATCCGGTCGGATTCGAACCGACGTCTTCTTGCATACCGTGCTAGACGCTAAGCTCGTAAGCGACACGCCTGTCCAAACGGTTGGCGTGCTACTCAGAGCTTTCAATCGCAAAGATCTATGAGGCACTACGATCGCGCCCGTCACCGTGAAACATAAGTTGATAAGTCCCTTATGCCTGCAGTTTCACCAGCACCCTTACCCTAAAAGGTAATTATAATGTGCCAGGCAAGCACACCAATAGTCTAGTCTAGCCCATTTTAAACTAGAGAATTACCTATACTATGAGTATCAGAGCATTGGAATTCACTCCGGTGCACTACTCAGAACACCCAGACCAGAACCAATTTAGGAAAGTTAATTTCCCAAATTGATCCTACCGGTAAGCGAACCCGGGACCTCCGATTTCAGCGCACAATTTGCATACCGGTGGACCATTGAGATAGAAATCTTCATCGAGACCCGCGCTAGGAGCATCGTACCCTGGAAGCTTCCAACATTTCCCCTTCGAATATCTCATAACAATTTATATATTACTTATTTATGCTTTTGTTTATAAGTACCATGTTTATAAACTACACTTGTACTAACAATTTCTGTATTTTCCTAACAGAGCTGCACCTCCGAAATGGAAAATGGTTCCGCCGATGTAGGTGAACAGTACTATTAACTTTAAAAACGCACACTCACCGGCAAATAATTTGGGTCGCTTACAATAATTAGAAATAAGTTCCAATTATAATTAGGAAATACAGAATTCATTAATGTCTGTTAATTAATGTCTGTAATAGAAACACCACAAAAGTACAATTTTAACGTAACTCTTTATATTTAAAATAAGTTAAAAAATATTTAAAAATATCGAGTTCTTAGGTTTTCGCGATTGTTACACATAGTAAATGAAATTATATACATAGAAAAAAAAATTCTTATAATTGACCCTTTCGAATGGCATCATAAATATACGGGATTTTTATTCACATTTGATCGGCTCGACTCCCAGATGATGAGAGATGCAGAAGAAGCAAAATATGTTATCTATAATATTGAAAGTACTTTCCCTCTGTGTCCTCTAGCCGTGGAAAGCACTGTATATTTGAAAAAAAGGGTTAGCATCTGACGAGTAGTGGAGAATGTTCGCTTCTGAAAGCGAATATCGCGTATATCTTCTCAGTTATGATAAAATATCAAGTACATAATGAAGAGAAGGACGATATGTTGTCGATAATTTATTTTTAACACAAAAATGTTTACTTTAACTCAACCGTTCTAAAAATACGTAAAGAAAATAGAAAATAACATTTTGTAGATGACCCAAATTTATTGCTAGCGAGTATATTATTTGTAGCTTCTAATTGTTTTCTTAAATGTTGTGACGTTTATTTTGTTTTGTTAGTTAACATGCTTGGAAAGTGATTTTTGTGCAATGATCTTATATACTTGTTTTTATTATGCTTTTTTATTCATATACTTTTTTTTTAAATCGAAAAAGGATTTTTTTTTATAATAAAACAGATCGACAAATCTGGCAGTTCCAAGTACGGGGCCATAAAAGGAGGAAATCTATTCCCGTCCTTACCTTACGCTCTGATTTCAATATACAAGTTTCAATATAAATGTAAATACAATATACTAGTGAAACTATCTATTATTTGTTACCTTACGTCTAACAGGGAAACGGACCGCTACTACAGCGATGATATCTTCATGATGCCGGCGGTGGACGAACCGGGCATCGAGAATTCGACTCGATCTCGTGACAACATCTACGAGTACCGCGACGTGCCTGTCAAGCGACCACAAACACCACATACTCCACAGACGCTTACCAGAGCTGTAAGTTCTAGTACCTCCTCAAAGGTTTCCAGAAATGTTTAATACTATGATCCGTGAACAATGCGAGTAAATAGATTAAGTAATGACAAAAATAGAAAAAGGTATTTTGAAAAGTCGTTTGGGCACAAGGAGCAAATGAATGAAAGTAAGTAGCGAAAGAGATATAGAGCCAACGTGAATGCCTTTCATATTGGAAGAGGACGACAACAATAGACTTTGTTGACAAAATATGAGGGCTGTGATCATCGAGTATATAACCAGAAATAGAGACGAAATAAGGGTCATACTTTCCTGGTAACACATCAGTGATACATCACTTATAAATATCAAGTCTCGTTTTCACTGAAATTACAAATTAGAAAGCTGAAATAGTACAGCGCCAACAACTGACCTCTGTGTACGTCTCCGTATATTCCAAAAAATATTCCGTATTTATTGTAATAAAGATAATATCTCTAACAATGAGGGGCTGTTCCATTCGATGCTGTGGGGAAAACAGCAAAACATCTAATTACAAAACAAACGGAATAACATTTCATCGGTAATTAAGTACTTACTTGGTACTTGGTGTAACGGGCTGGTGTCCGCAACTCGACGTCAAGGCGCCTATTTTTTTGTGCGTAATTAAGTATTAAATATGTAAGTATGTATGATAATATCTCAAATAATGGTATGCTGTTCCGTTCGGTGGTGTGGGGAAAAACAGCAAAACATCTAATTACAAAACAAACGGAATCAAATTTCATCGGTAATTAAATATTGCAATTTTCGTCTATTATAGCAAAGCTCAAGTTAAGTGGTCGATTTGAAGTGAAACAATTGACGACACCCGTCAATTGTTTTGAATTCGGACTGGCCAATCGGAGCGCAATTGTCACAGTAGTCATATGGCAGAATAGTTTTCAAACAAATTGAGTGACGTTTTGTCTCTATTTCTGGTTACATACTCGATGGCTTGGTTGAAAGATTTTATTTATTTTAGGGTATATAAGGTACATCAACAGTAGTACATATGTATACTCTTAGATAACAGTGTAAATTTAAATTAGTATTGTACTTATAGGTCTACCTATTACAGATATATACAGCATTTAATGTAATAAAATAATAAGCAATAAAAAACGACAAAGAACTTATGAAATTATTGGGGAAGCGATTCGAGAATGTTATTTTTCAAAATATTACGGGAAGAATGAAAAATGTCTATATCTATAAATATAAGACGATGAATGTCAGAGAAGCAAGGAGAGATTTGCCAGGATCGTGCAAAATGGCGAATGACAAACCTATGCTTACCCCAATCAAAAAAAAAATTAAATAATTTCAATGTCAACCAACTTGCACTTCTTTCTCGTGCAATTATCCACGAGTGTTATTTTATTTTACTTCGCTAAGACTGGGGGTTGTTTCGATGACGTGTCCAATATAAGTTGGTATATTTCAAGCTTCCAGGTAGTCCCAAACACTGTTCCTATGATGAGAGGGACAATATCGTATCGTAACCCTATATAAACAATGTACAAAAAAGTTCTCACTGGGTTCCGTGTAGCCTTTCCAATAAGGATGTGACCCCCAGAACAGATACCTACCTACCAACAGCTGCCTAGATTTTCTTACATAATCAGAAGTCGATATAAGTCACCATTCGGAGGAAAATCTCGAAATATCAAAATTTAGGATTTATTTTAAACTCAATGACAATGCCATCTAGCGCCTTTTGAGGAAACTTCAAAATGCCGAGGTTTTTTTCTTACCTTTTAGCTAATTGAGGCTATTATTATTATTTATTTATATATTTAAGCCAATAAAAATAAAGCAGAATTAAGAAACCCATAAAAACGTCGAACGTGTAAAAACTGTGATCCCAAAAATCCGCCATTTTCTTTGCAGGCAAGCTCACCACACACTCTGGCACCCCGACCCGCGTCGCAAGCGTCCACCGGCTCGGCGCAATCGCTCAAGGAGAGCATTGTATCGCGAATGCCCGACCCAGTGCCACGGCCAAGGTCTAGAACGCACCTTGTTCATGGCGTACCGCAGACCACTGTCTAGATAACTGCGCGACATTGTCTTAAAGAGTACGCGCGAGAAAGCTTTTAAAATGATTTTGTACCGTCTACAGATGGTACGTGTATTCCAGTATTTAAATCAAACCACTAGTCTAGATTCTGGGCCTCACAAAACCACCAGGTATTCTGAACAGAATACCTGGTGGAACAGACAAGTAGGTGTTACGAAACAACATAGAAATTTCCTTTGTCAGGTTTTAGGGGCTCCACTTCTGCCTGTCTTCAGTTTTAATACAAAAGTGCTCGCTGCGCTTAAGATGTGTGGAGCTCCTTAGATTTTAAAAATTGAAGCGTATTGTCCTCTACTATGTAGCGAGTAGAAAAGATCTTGATTTTTCTTCCAACCTATGTTTTGCTTTTAACTAAATCAAAATATAATATTAATATGCATATTATATTTTTAAGCTTTAAACAACATTATTAATAACCACCGTTAGTGAATAAAAATCTTTAATTTTTTGTTCATAATAGATAACTGGTAAACGTATACATCGTGTACGTTTATTATACAGTCTACAGTACTAAACACTGTAAAGAAACTCTGGCATTGGGTAGGAATGGCCTCCGAATACTGATCAAAGGTCTCACCGGAAGCGAAGATAAAAGAAAATTGCACTAGTGTAGAAAGCAGCAGTAGAGCTCCTTGTGAAAGGGTTCGTCCAGGGAAGTACTGCTACCTTACCTATTTCTCCAAGCAATGTCAGCATCTGTGTTCCGGTTTTGAAGGGTAAGGGTGCTGGTGAAATTACAGGCACATGGGACTTGTCAACTTATGTCTCAGGGTGACGGGCAGAGTGGCAGTGCCCCTCAGATCTTTGCGATTTAAAACTCCGAGTGGCACTGCAACTGTTATGGACAGGCGTGTACATACGACTTGTTCGTCCAGTCGCTTGATATTATTATATAAAAAAGTAAGGCTTGATAATTCCGCACTAGCGTGATTTACTTTTAGTTCCATATGAATTAAGGCAATAAAAAACATCAGTTTTCGACCAATTGTACCGCAAAAAAAATATTTTTATTATTATTCTTTACAGTAGTCATTGTTTTCATTTTGTATGTCAACTTTTTATATTTACTGACAGCTATTTTTTTATTTCGTTTACAATAAATTTTATAAAAAGTTGCCATTACATTTTTATGAATTTAGACTGAAATTTATTTAATTGTTTTGAATTAATTTTACATTAACAATCTATGAGATCACTATTTACTGTATAACTTCTTGACACTTTACCATTTGTGTATTCAACGTATTTTAATAATTTTACCTAAAAGGTTATTGTTTGTATAAGATGCATACATGAAAATAGTTTTAAATCATGCGATAGACGTTCAGGAAGTTACTGAAATAGTATTGTTTATTACGAGAGATTTTTCTAAGAAATTCCAAGAGTATGACGCACTGAACATATAAAATAAGTTTAGTTTTAATTTTGCACGAATTGACGCCTATATATACAATTATTAAGCTAGTTTAGATATAATTCACTTGAACAATTGTTATACAAGGTGTTAGAAAATATTTGACATTTCATGGGGTGCCTTTGTTCACAGAGTTTAATTGTTACTGGCCAGCGAATTGACTAGTTGCGAGTAAACATGCCCAGTGTAATCATGTTCACATAGAAGTTGAAAACCGAGCTCCTTTTTTATTTAGGACACTACAATTTGGGCCCCAATACCACGACAATACAAGCTGCAATTGATCAAAGCTACTGTTTCTAGTGATAACAAATAAATCAACTAGATGGCGCTTATTACAAAGATTTTTTATAGATAGTGCTGGCTACTCTTAATTTGTTTAGAAATAGCGCCATCTACCTATATTAGGAAGCGTTAATTTATAAATTAGTTTATAACACAACGCCATCTATTGACACGCATATTGTCATTGTTCAGAAAATAATTTTAACTCCTGATTAATTCCAATATTACAAGGAAAAAACTGACATGTTAAACATTTCATATTGAAGAGGAATTAATTGATGTCCATATTACATAATACAAACTATTTCCAGGCTATCGATCTGTGCCCTTTTACCCCGATAACCTAATTATAACGAAACCGTTGCTCTTTCGGGATATATTTGATGTTTATCGCAAAGACACGATTAGGTTCGATTAGATTGTTAGATTAAAAAAAAATTTTCCTCTTAAAATCACTTACGACGTTATAAAAATTCGAGCAAACCTGATTTCTGGAAAATGTCATTTCGTACTTCTGATAGGTAACCTACTAGTCCTCTTGAGTGTGTTCATTGTTTAGGCTGGTTTTAGTCTTACGCCGACGGCACGCGCACAGTCAGTGCTCATAGCTCAGCGCGTAGTTTGTCAGCGCTGAGCCTCAGCGTGGCTCGTTTTAGTATCGTACTGACCGCCTTGCTGTACAGACGACGACCAAAATGCAGAGTGTATTAATTATTGCTGCTTTGTACTATCTATCCCAAAAAAATAAAAACCGGCGACGACGAAGACTACACGTTCATCCATTGATTGAGCAGAGAGCCGTTGCAGGAGCATTTGTCTTGTTATATGGCACTTTGAGGGCTTTGTTTCTTGTATCTTTATTTTTGTAGAGTGGATCGGATGCATCCCGCAATTTCTTCTTCAGGCGTACCTCATCGATAACTCGACCAGTATCGACTTCGCGATTCGCCATGACTACGCGCTGACCACGTCCGCTCCGCTCGACTCTAGAACGCTCACTGAAAGCAGAGGCGCTCGTGCGATCGTCAGCGCGGACAGCTACGCGGAGCTGACGCGCGACGCGTACGGCCGCGTAGTTGTCAGCGCTGATCGCCGTGCGCGCTGATAGCTACGCATCATTCAAAAACGCTTCCTAGAAGTTCATATATCTCGACAATCAGCGCTGACGGTGAGCGTGCCGTCGGCGTAAGACTAAAACCAGCCTTAATCACTATGTGACGATTTAAGTGATTGATTGAGTTTGAAAACCTTTACTCTCTACTCGCTGGCGTATAGGCTTGTTGGCTAGTCAACTAATTACTATATAAATACTCTCCGTCCATTTGAATCCCCAGTTGGATTAAAGTGTACAACGCATGGTAACTCGCTATCTTGTTCGCTACTGAACAAGTAAAAAATTTTGTGGTAGCTGACGCTTCTGATTTCACCAGCTACTAGTTAGTTAATTGGCTCAATTTAAGACAAACTGGTAGCTGCTAGTCCTGAGATTTTATATGGATGTCTTTATTAACCGACTTCACAAAAAGGAGGAGGTATTTTTTTGTAAGTATTTACGCGATAACTCCGGCGGCATTTATGAACCGATTTTGATGATTCTGTTTTTGTTGGAAAGAGGGTACCTCAGTATTGGTCCCATTTGAATATTCTACCTCTAAGGGTGGCAAACTAGGGGATGAATCCGGTTTCGCGCACTTTCCGGTAACCGATGTCAATAAAACTTGGCGAATAGATGTAGGTATTCCACGAACTCGTCTTAATTATTTTTATTATAAAAAACTTACTAGATGTAAATTCTCGAAGTGACGTTCAGTTTCACCCCATGAAATTCCAGTATTTTTTTAACTTCCTCTATAGAGCTTATTATAAAGACTGTAGAACAATCTTTTCAAAAAGCACTGCTTTATTAAAGATGCCACGTGATTATGATAATAAAGAATGCGTAAAAATACGTATAGATATATGTGGAGCGGCATTCCGTATTTTAACGTAACATCACCGAGCGTAATTATGCGCGCGTAATTTCTTTGTAACCTTAAACACATATAAAATAGTTGTTAAGATTTTTTCATGTATGTTAAACTAGGAGTTACAGTCAATTAAAGTAAGTACTTATACCAGTGTACTAAAGCATCCGTTGCGTAAATCAGAGCGTGGGATGCATCACGATATACTGGTTTGTTCAACAAATCAACGTTTCGTCCAGTTCAAGTTGACCTGCGACAGGTTTGTACGCGGGTGTCAATGTGCTCAACCATCGTGAGGCTTCTACACGGATCCCGCTTCACGCAGCGGAAGCTCTTAGAATAAAAATAAATGTTTGTGATTGTCTGTCCGTCCATACAGTGCAATGTGTCTTATTTGTGCCTTTTTAGAGGTTTACAATAAAATTATTATTATTTATTGTTTTGGTATTTAAAGGGAATGAAACGAAAACTGCCCTTACAAATAAAAGACGTAATCTTTATGTATTTGGTTTTTTTATTTATAAAATGATGTATAATCAGACTCAAACAACATAATGGTTTAGGGATAGTAGCATTCAGTTTATAATTCAAACGACGAGACGCTCGTATGACAGATTATCATAGGAGTAGTGGTATCTAATTGTTCACAACGAAAGTTGATGTTAGCAGACTTGTCACTCGACATAACAGATATAAAACATCTGTAGGTAGGAATTAACCTAAAGGCGACGTGACTGTTATCTCGAGTCTTCATTTTTAGTAACCTAGAATATAATAGTAAATTGGTCAAAGCTATACCATACCATAAACAAACAGCGAAAACAATTGAAGAGTCTAGGGAAAGAAAGGTCAAAGTCACTTAAGAAGAGTACTGCGTACAAGAGAACAGTACAATATTTTAATAGGCTTTATGTCGGTAAAATCATTACACGTCCGCATCAAGAACCCCATGGCTCTATGCTTTTGCAACTATACTCTCAATATGTTTATCGAAGAGCAAGTGGGAATCAAAAAACAATCCTAGATCTCTAACACTGTCCACTCTATTCATACAATTTCCTAGAAGACTATAACCTCCGCCGATAATGGTTTTTTTACGCGAGTAAGATATTACGAAACAGTTACATTTAAGTCTAGATTATCAATTCGACAATAAGCTACAAACTGATCAAGATCACCCTGTAGAGCCTGAACGTCTTGATTTGACACAACTTTTTTAAGGATTTTCATATCATCAGCATAAAGTAATACTTCAGAGTTATGAAAACAAAGTTGGGTATCATCAATAAATATGATGAACAATAATGGGCCCAACAGAGACCCTTGTGGCACGCCCGAGTTAACAAAATTCCAAGTGGATTTATAACCGGCAAGAACCACTGCTTGACTGCGCCTATTAACATAGGACGAGAACCATCTCTATAGATCACCGTGGACACCAGCTCTCGATAACTTATCAAGTAAGATTGTGTGGTCAATGCTATCAAAACATTTACTGTATTCAATATATAGAACGTTCACCTGAGCTCCGTCTTCCATACCGGTCGAAATAAAATCAGCAGCCGCAACTAAATTTGACGTCGTGGACATTGAATCTTATTGGCCTTTTTCTGATTTAGGCAAAGTACCCTCAGCGTTTACCAAACTGGGTGGCGGTATTAACTCAAAAATGTGTTTTAAATTACTTGATCATTCTTTCCCTGTAGGGCTACCACAATAGGGCGCGACAAGCGCGAGGGCGACATAAAGTGCGAGGTACCTACTGCTATTCTCGCATAGAGATTTCGTGCTTTGTAGCAGTAGAGGTCCTTGTGAAAGAGTTCGTCCAGGGAAGTACTGCCACCTTGCCTATTTCTGCCGCCAAACAGTAATGTGAGCATTACTGCGTTCCGGTTTCGAAGGGTAAGGGTGCTGGTCAAATTACAGGCACAAGAGACTCGTTACACTTATGCCTCGGGGTGTCGGGCGCAGTGGCAGTACCCCTTAGATCTTTGAGATCTAAAGCTACAACTGTTATGGACAGGCGTGTAGCTTACCATCAGGCGCACTATTTGTCCGTCCCGTCATTTGATTGAATCTCGTAATTAAATTCATAGAAGAAAATTTATGGCGACTAAAACGTCCTCTGTCAGAGAGCGCTTCGACTGGGAGTGCGGCCATTCTCAACGCCTGATGCCTGTTTCGCTCTCGCCACCGTACAGGCCAACCTGATCTCAACAAACTCGCATTATATTACCGTCCGGTTTCGAATGGTAAGGGTGCTGGTGAAATTACCAACACATGGCACTTGTTAACTTATGTCGCAGGGTATCGGGCGCAATGGCAGTGCTCCTCAGATCTTTGTGATTTAAAGCTCCGAGTGGCACTGCAATTGTTAGGGACTTGTGTGTCGCTTACCACCAGGTCCACGAATTGCTCGTCCCGTCACTTGGTAAGTATTGTAAATAAAGTCACTCTCGCACTTTGTGTCGCGCCTTATCGTGCTAGCCTTAGGTTTCTTCAATTACATAATTATAAAATAATAAGACTGTCTATGCATAAAGTAAAATAAAGTCATGGATAGGTAAACATTATTTGTCTTTAGGACTAACTGACTCTAGAATCATCGTTAGACAAATTATCCTTGTCATGGCGTTCACAAACACACGCTCGCGGCGAGTTACGCGCAACGAACGATGGCGTGCATTTCGGTCCGCATATTCTACGAGCCTCGACACTGCCCACTTGGTGCAGCTGGCCTGGTTGTAATGTGAGATCCACTACGTAATTCATGCGACGGAGACCTGCTGGATATTGGTTTATTGAGACTTCCTCATCTTGCTCCTCCTGTTCAGACATTTAATGTATTATTAGCAATTTTATTGTACCTAAACGATGTCGCTTATCGCGCAGTCGTCACCACTGGCTTTGTTCCCACCGACAAAAAAACCCATAAGTTACCAGGTGGTGGGTGTCAAACGCGACAAAAAAATCTCAGTTGGGAAACAAAGAGAAAAAAGGTGGTGACAAATGGGACCTATAAAGATGTTGTTGCCACTGGCGACAAATGCATTTTTTTTTATAACATCAAGTGACAGGACGAACAAGTCGTGCGTCTGATGGTAAACTACACGTCTGTCAACGACAGTTACAGTGCCACTCAGAGCCTTAAATTGCAAAGATCTAAGGGGCACTACCACTGCGCTCGTCACCTTGAGACTTAAGTTGACAATTCCCATGTGCCTGTAATTTCAACAGCACCCTTACCCTTCAAAACCGGAACGCAGTAATGCTGACATTACTGCTTGGCGGCAGACATAGGTAAGGTGGCAGTACTTTGTTGGACGAACTCTTTCACAAGGAGCTCTGTGTGGCCTTGCAACTGCTATGGATAGCTTACCATCAGGCCAAAAACTGCAGGCCATTCTTACATTTTAAACCGTACGGATCTACTACCGGCCGAAACGTCAGTCAAATAGGTACAAATACCCATTAAATCAGTTTGTTTTTGCGTTCATCCCCGTACATTTTCCCGTTTTACTAAAATAGCAAAGTAAATTGCACTAGTACAGTGCAGTTTGAGTAAATATTTGTATTAAAAATGATCTTACCGTGTTTAACTCAGGCATAGCGACCTCACACCAAGCGTGTGCGCTGGATGTTCTGTAGAGCGCGCAGGGTAGACCGATGCGGTCAGCGAGCACCTTGTAAAGAATCGCTCGCTCGAGCTCGCTGCCCACTCGGACCCAGCCCAGGCCAATTACACGCGAGTTTAATTCCGTCTGTGGGTTGTTAGAACTCAGAGCTCATTTCAACTAAGTTGCAACTGTCTTAACGTTTTATCTATCATTGGACAGTCGCGTCTAGCCTGGTTCCATATCACGACTGTCTGTCGTGACTGTGTCGTGGATGTTTATTTTTTGTTTTTGTTTACCCACTAGATCACGGCAGTTGCCTTTGTCGTTCACACGACAGAATCGTTTGAAGCTGCGATTATCTGTTGTCACACTGTTGTGACATTTTTATCGTGCCGTTTTGTTTATCGTTAGACGACTGTCGTTCTAGCTATCCCCATTGTCACAACAGTCTGTCATCGTAACTTCAAAAAAGTCGTAAACGACAGTTAATAGTGTTGTTCTATGTGTGAATAACATCATAACTTCATTTAAATATACTAGCTACGACACTTTCAAGTGCACGACTATCGAGTGTGTTGTGAGTCGTACTGATTCCACAATGAGTGTGTGTATGTGAAATATTTGAACGTTATAATTGTAAATATAAACATAATATTATTTAACAAATTAATCTTAGCTTTACCATCAACTTGGTCAAGTGCAAATCAACAGTGGGCATGGAGCAATCTCTCTCTTGTGTCAACCCGCTCATCTGCTCGGATACGAACACAGCCAATAGCTTCGCACGCTCCATCAGAGATGATGACACTTCTGTGCACTTCTCGCGATATCTATGTGACCATTATTCAATAAAAATTCTTACAACTTAGAATTTGAAGCGTCGCGTGACAGTGACAGATTATTTTAAAGGACTCAAAGCACATAGTTCATTCGTAGAGTCTATGCGCACAAATCCGATGTTGAATTTGTATAGAATGTAGAAACTAGAACCGACTTCGGATTTTTCTTATCCACTGAGCCTGATCGGTATCTGAGAAAATCCGGATATCACTTATACACCTAGATATTCACGATTCTGGCCATTCTGGTGCTGTGTTGTATGCAGCCTTTAAGTCGTTTTCGTAAATATGCGAGCTGTCAATCGCCCTCAATTTATGGCATTGTACGAAAACGCAGGAGAAATAAAAAGTTCTGGACACATCATGGATAAATTAACTGGCTTTTTAAAGAAACTTTTTAAAATAATCACGATGAACTAAGATAGCAAGAAATTTTATGATCCAACGCAGGGCGCGAGTACAGTATAAATAATGCTGTAGTTGCTTTAAAAGCAATGATGCGAATGGAAGATATTCTCGACTTCGGAGGACGGAATTCGGATTTCAAACGCAATCTCTCGTATAAATGTTACTATTACGCCTTCGGACCGTCATCTCTCGGATTCGGAACAGGGGGGCTACTCTCGATCTCCGTCCGAAACAATTACTGTCAAATAAGTAATATTCTACAAAATTAAAAGACAAGTATCCAGTATGAAGCTTCATTCGCATCACGCGTCTTTTCATTTGGTCAAGTATTGCTTATTTAGCAGTATAATTGTTGCGGACGGATGTCGGACGGAGATCGAGAGTACATCCCCTGAAACAGATCGGACATAGTGCGCAAAAGCTCGTACTCTAGCGAGTAAATTGTTACAGCGCTCGGTCTTTGTAGGCGCTAGTCGGACGCCGCGCCACCCAGTTAACGTCGTGGACGCTAGATCTGCTACTAAGTGACAAAATATTTTTTGAGATATCATGACGCCCTCAGAATGCTGTTGGGGTTGCCGCGCTACTGTAGCGCTTCAGGAATGTTTGCCGAGGCGCGTGTGGACGGTTTTAGCTCCATTTTGCGGAAGCGGGTGGCATCCCTGATGCGCAGGGTGCGGGGCAGCGCCAATGGCATTCTTCGAACAGTGGCCGATAGGAACGATGGGCCCATATTGTATAGGTGGATAAGGGTACATTGTACATTCTAGATAACTCTTATTAACATAGATGGTAAGGATTTTGTTACTAACACTTTATGGATATCTTGTCTGAAATAAAGATTTTGATTTGATTTGATAAAAAACCATAACCCAGTTTTAGAATATTGAAATTGTTTAATGATATTTCAGTTATCATCCTTAGGGTAGGTTCCAATAAGTCTAACTAATTTTAACTTTTTTTAAAACAGAATTTTGTGCTCTATTTTTTGCTATTCGAAACGGCTATTTGACCATTTCTCACTTAGGCGCGTTTTAGTTAATGGACAGCAGAGATGATGTTAGGGCTCGATTCCCGACTGGGAAATAAACTTTTTAGATTTGGTTCTGCTCGTATTGCGTGCCCTGGAGTTAATACCGTTGCTTTGGTACTTTGAGATCAATACAAATCCATCGGAAGTTTCACTTGACAAATACGTATTGCTAACACTCTAATTGCTATGATAAATAAGCAATATATGAAGATAACTTCAAGCTAAAAGTTAGTTTTGTCTTACCCGACTCCGTAACTCGGAACTTCGATTTCAAAATATTGCAAAGATTGTGCTCTGCAATGCAAACACACCGGTATATAAAGATATACCGGTGTGTTTGCATTGCTGCATTTTTTTTGCATTGCGGTGTGTTTTTTTTGGAAAAAATAACGAAAGAATGCAATGCCATAAACGTATTTAGTACTCAACCCGCATTGGACAGCAAAGTGGATACGGCCTTAAATGTCGTTTTACAGAATTTTTGTGGAAAACTTAGATGAATAATAATATTCAGTAACAATGTTCTTATTTTTAAGAAATAATTTTAAATCAGTGGCGGTACCCCCAGTGGGTACTACGGTTGCGGCATACCTATGACGTAAATTTTAAGTTACATTTGTGAATGTTTAGGTAAGGCTGGTTTTAGAGCAGTGCGGATTTACCTGTGGACCGTCCGCGCAGTAATAATAATAACGCACACACTCAACATAGCCCCGCACTAGGGAAACGCTGTGTCGCGGGTGCCATGGACACACACATAGACAACCACAAATTACACCCAACCTCACGAGAGAAATAAATGTGAGCCATACAAACATTTCTCCCGGCCCGGGAATCGAACCTGGGACCTCTGCGTGGCAGTCCGGCATGGTAACCGTTCGGCCACGGAGGCAGTTAGCAGTGGAGCACCGGAGCGAGGTAACACGTGTGGCGTTAGAACATCTTTTTACAGGGACGCGGATTGCTTCCGCACAAGCCATCCGTGCAATCCGCACTAAATTAAACTCTCGATTCAGAGCACTGCGGATTCTACGCATGCGGATGGGCCGCAAGCGGACAATCCATACGGATCGTACGCACAGCTGTGAAACCAGCCTTTCGGTGAACAAAATGATCGTAATGAAATCTGCACTTCGAAGAAGGTTCAGAATCCTTGATGAAATCCACAAGTCCCATTGAGGCAACGTGATTGAGTATGACCTAAACCTCTCCTTAGCAGAGACCGGTACCCCGTACTGAGAAGTATAATGGTTTAATGATGATGATTATTATTTTTAATAAAATCTTGAATACTAACGTGTCTGTAAACCACAACTTGAGGCGCTGTAGATAGACGCGCAAGTTAAAATCTTCTGGCACTATCGGAAACTGCAGTCGCCCGGAAGACGTCGCTGACAGGTCAACTAAAGATGTTGACCTTCTGCCTGCGACAAATCAGTTAACTATGGAATCAATGCAATAAAACTCAATGTTACGGATTACGGTTACCATGTCCATGCCTTTTATAGGTATTAACTTCTCGAAGGCTTTCGACATATTATATATATTATATATAATACTTGTATCCTGTTGAATAAACTTCTGATAGTCGGTGTGCACAAAGACGTCATTCGCTGGCTTGAATGTTAAAGAGAAAAGTCTTCTCAGACGTACGAGTATCAGTTAAAGGCTGTATTTTGGGTTTCTGTTTTGGTGTACCCCAAGGCTCCCACTTTGGTCCACTTCTTTTCACCCTTTACATTAACGGTTTCCACCATTGTTGGAGAAATATGAATACTCAGAAATTGCGACGGTCTTCACCATTTTGTCAGCCTTTACGCTAATCGATTTTTGAGCTACTGTAACGACTTCATTCCATCGCCCACAGCAGACAAAAGAACATATAAAGAGAATGTGTAGCCGATATTACGGGTGCATAGCAAATGTTGAATAACAAAGTATAGCTATGATTATCTAAGCTAGCTAGCAATGTCCGCTTGTAAGACATACACGTACCTACTTAATGTGAGATTACGTACTTCTACGATGAACCATCTACAAAAAAAAACCATACATTTACAGAATAATTAGTAGAAATGTTCCACCCATATGTTATGGACATGTCCAAAATTCGCACGAAAAGTTACGCTTCTACATTTATATGGCTAAGGCATACGCTACAACTTAGGTCTTTTCAAGGCGAAAGAGCATAGACATTATTTGGGTATTCATGATCCATATCAGACGAAGGTACCTATGTGCACTTATGTATAAAAAACTTACGTGAACTCTGAAAATCGCCGCCATAGGGGACCGGTGAAGGTTGGAACATGACAATGAACACCGGTTGTCGATGTGGGTGAGGCGATCGGAGGATCTCCGAAAACGTCGGAAAGAACTCTCCAAGGTGCTTCTGCACGTAGAAACCATCCTGCGGAAATTTTTGGCAACCATGGAAATGTAAAGTGGGCGTTCTCTTAAAACCATAGTTGTGTTCCATAGTACAAAATAGTGCGTCAAAGCTCTCAATGATGTTTTATAGCTTTTAAATAAATTCACATAAGGACTATTGAATATAGTGCCATCTAATGTTGAGTAGCGGAACTCCAAAAGCAAATAGATCATATTTTATTTAGCGATGCGCTATTGTGAATGATTTCAATATTCGACTCGTTAGTAATTACTAATCATGTCATTCGAATGACAAATTAGTGACGTACTAATTTTCGTATTCGAATGATTTGAATGATCATTCATTACTAATTCATAGATTCCATAGAGCACAACGATACTCGTGATCTCCTAGGCCTCTCTGACATATTATGGTAAATACCGTAAAAGTGACGGGGTCAGGGATATTTTGATGTGGTCATAGTGAGACATCTGGTAGAGTTGCGAAATTATAATCATTCGACACGTGCACCCAACCTAATGGCAGAGGCATTCGGTATCGGTAATCATTAGACTCGAGTCGAATGATTGTGCTTCTACTTAAAGCGAATGATTTGCCCATTCGAATGATTAGTACTAACATTCAAACTCGCGCGTCGCTATATTTATTAGATAAGATAAATTTATTTCAATATAACTTAATCTAATACGACATAAGTAAAACATATGTAAATAAAGATATCATAGTATTCGCTTCTTAATAATTATTTGAAAATAAGTATTAAGAAGCGAATCTAAATTATACATTCTTCATGGTAAAGTAATACATTTTACATTTTAATATTACCATCTAATGTGTAATAGCGATGCCTAAACTAAGTAAATGAATATACCTGTATTTTCGGCATCTTTTTGGGCAAAATTCTTTATATTACAGCTTAAAAATAGGTTTTCTATATTTAACAATAATATAATTAGTAGTTATAAATTAATGGTTACCTATATAAAACAACAAATTTGTAATTATACTCGGCTTCGTCCTCAAGATTAGTATATAAACAATACTAGTAGTACCGCGTAGCGGCCGCCACTTTCGCACTATATTGAGGGTGAAATAAGATTATTTTGACATTACACCTCATTTCGACTCTTCCTACGTAAAGTATCATATGTCGAAATTGCCAAGTTTACAGGGAAGCGTTAAGTTTTGAATTCACTGCCATGAGTATAACACGTGACTTTAGCATAGAAATGCTAAATTAAATTGTAAAATAATAAAATAAATTATGGTTGTTCATCTAACCGATATCTAGGATTTTATAATAAGTACTCTGTTTGAGTTTTGCCGACGTGTTATCCCCATTTCAGTGAATTCAAAATTTTAAAACGCTCTCCTGTAAACTTGGCAATTTCGACATACGATACCTTACGTAGGAGGGGTCGATTTACTTGTTCACTGCTCGATCACGCCATTTCATTTGCGTTGTAGTGCTTCGCCACCTAGTACAATATTTTTCCACTCCTCGATAAAACTCAAGTTTTAGTTTAAAATAACATGACATGCCTAAAAGAAAATACAAACATAAAGAATATGATTTTCTGTGCAAAAATAGAAGACGAATTACGTCGTGATAAAACCGTTAATTATCCAACAAAAAGTCGTTTAGTCGACGATCAAATGTTTCATCATTAGGCTCATTTTTTAAGCCAACGGATAGGTGCTCATAATAAGCCGGGCTGATTACGCGCGAATTTTTTTCAGTGAGTGCTAACCGTCGCGCTGCCCTCAGTCGTCCTGTGGAGCGAGTGTTATAATCTTCATCATATCTTAAATCATCTTTCATGCCTTTCAAAGTTGTGTAAGTTTTTTCGTATGAATGTGATTATTCCATATAAATACAACGAATACATGGTCATTATCCTGTGTCTCACAAATAAGTCCCTACAAGAGACTCTTCGTGTTACTCCGACAAGTATCATCCTTGCTCGTTTCTGAATAATGAATACCCTGTCAAAATTAGTGGAGTCACCCCATAGAATGGTACCATACGACATTATGGAGTGGAAATATGCGAAATATGTTTGTCGTAGTATGGAATCTGTAACGACAGGTTTTAATTTTTTTAGTGCATAAGTCGCACTACTTAGTCTACCACACATAGAATTTATATGAAGCTTCTACGCTAAAATTTTCATCCTGAATGAATCCTAAGAACTTACTGTGGTAAGTATTGGACTATCCAAACACGTTGGCCTCGGGATTGATCCTTTAGTTACTTACTTTGGGATCGGACCAACGTATGTTATGTTGTCTAATAATTATTTAAATCTGGTGTAATTCTCGTAATCGACCAAAGTGTATCAAACTGTAGGGCTAGCACGCGACATTTCTATGCAAGAATAGCTTTATGTCGGTCTCGCTCAAGTGGCTCGTTGTCGTGTTAATTACTGGTGATGTTTTTTATCATTTATGCGGACGCGCAATAGGAAATGTAGTTTATATTGATACTATTCCCTTAAACCTAGCCTACCCATAAAATTTTAATAAAAGTAACGGCCCGCTATGATGGCCGTTATGACGTTTGTCCGCTCATCAAGCTTCGTATTAATTCATAACTACGTTGAAGAAGCTCATCGCTGTTCATTGTTGTCAATATAGTGGTGCAGTAAAATTTATGGAATGTATAATTTTACGACACAACAGGGCATTAGGCGTCACTCATAGGATCGCTGGCCGCGTTTTTATTTTCGTTTCATTAAAACTTATTTTAATCAGTTAGGTACCCCTTGAAATACTAGTTATAAATCTAAAAACGATGCGACTCGCATTTAATTATATTTTTTTCGATAATGAATTGACATTTCACCTCACTATTGTAATCTTCAAAACGGCAGTGGAGCTTCTTGTGAAAGAGTTAGTCCAGGGGAAGTACTGCCACTTTACCTATTTCAGCCGCGAATCAGTAATGTCAGCATTACTGTGTTCGTGTCTTGAACGGTAAGGGTGCTGGTGAAATTACAGGCACACGAGACTTGTCAACTTACGTCTCAGGGTTGACGGGCGCAGTGGTAGTGCCCCTCAAATCTTTGCGATTTAAAGCTCTGAGTGACACTGCAACTGTTATGTATGTCCCTGGATATCATAAAAAATATTACCAAAAGTACACAAGGGCAGTAAGTACAGATGGATATTAAAAGAGTTAAGAAACTAAATACCGTAGTAAAGTCGTTAATATCAAGCAGTCCAGTGTACGCCAGCTTTGCAGAGGGGTGGTGTCGAAAAATCTCTTCAAGTGCGGGCTCCCACGCGCTGACTTTGTAACGAGCTTGCTTGTTTTGAACCATACTACATGAAAAAATACATAAACGCGAGTAACTTATCAGCGAACTGTAACTATAACGTATTCGATTATAAACGGATAGACAGCGGGTTTTTCACACGATATATTTTCATGCGTTTGAAAGACCGATAGCCGTAGTATTCACACAGCTATCGGTCTGAGAACAGGTCTGTGATGGATCCACGCTTTGTTGCACTTTTATATTGGCATAGAAGACGCTAACGGCTTTGCCGCCGAAATAACAGAAGGTATGGGTTCACCCAATGAATCAAGAAGCAGTGCGTACAAACACATTTGCAAAGTGATGAAAAAAATTTTAAAATATTTCATGTTCTGTCGGTGTAGTGACCTATCGAATGTTTGTTTTGTCGAAGCATTGATCTGTCGAGCATGTGTTTTGTCAAAGTAGTGTTCGTCGTATTTATGTGTAGTCGGAGTACTGTCGAGTCGAAATAGTATATGTCGAAATTAAGTATGACACTTCATGAAATGATAAAATTAATTTATACTCACTAATGCATAGTGCCGAGCGCCAGGTACACGTCGGCTCCCTCATCAGTTACGCTAGCGATGATGAGGTTGCATAAAGCCGTCCGCAGGCCCACATGCTCGGTTTTTATATTCATATCCACCGTCTAATACACATAAAGTTTGTTGCTTACTGTAAGATTCAATTCATCCGGTAATTCTCGAACATCCTTCTTGTCTTAGGCTCAATTTACAATAGCGCGGTACGTACGTTTTTGGCAAAAATAAAGCGTACCGGCTGAGTGAGGTTTATAAATCTCTCATAAGATGTCGCTTACGGTGTTCTCTCAATATAAAGATCTATAAAGCACAGGCCACACCGCGAGCGAAGCTATCGGCATGTTTTCGTACATCTGTTCACACCGCGAACTACGCTAAGACGCATAGTTAGCATGTAGCTATGTGAACTAAGCTAATTTAGCTTAGTTTCTCGTGTGGCCTACTCTTATCACACATGGAATAATT